CTCCGATGAGACTCTTGAGCACCTTTTTCTGACTTGCCAGTTTAGCCAGCAGGTTTGGAGCTTAATTCAGTCTCATCTTCGCTTGCCTTTATGTGTTTTCTACACTTGGTCATCGCTCATTTCTTGGACAAGGTTGAGAACTGATTCCTCTCCTTCGATCCTTCGGAAACTGTCGAGCCAAGCCGCTGTCTACCACATCTGGAAGCACCGAAACAATCTGATCCACAATCAGATCTCTGCTACACCTGCTGCAGTTTTTAAAACCATTGAGAAGGAACTGCGAAATACAATTACGGCTAGAAGAACCCGAAAGCATTTCAGGAACTTGATGCCGCTTTGGATTAGATAGTTTGTTGTCTGACACACAACAATTTGTTTTTGTAACTCTTGTTTTTTATTCTTTTTTGGCAAGGTTGCAACCATAGGTTAAGCTCTTTTGTAAAACCTCAACACTTCATTTTATATGATATTAACATTCCTATCAAAAAAAAAAAAAAAAAAAATTAAGTGTGGTCATGAAAAGGAAAAGATCTCACTTATGTATGCATGGGCTAACGTTCGATATATGCCAGTATCTATAGAGAAACATGGCATTTAGTGTTTTAGACATGAACATCTAACGGGCATGCAGACATAGAGAAACAAGCGTTCAGTAGACAGTAGTGTTATTAAAAAAAAAAAAACAACGGGTCCTTTAGACATGCCGATCTCACGAAGATACGCGGACAAACGTTTAGTGTTTTCAAAAGATCGAGAGAAAGAGACTTGAGCCATTGATTGAGATATTCTAGTTTGCGTTATATGTTTCTCAAATCACATGTTAGAGAGGAACTTGTGTAAACCTTTGTAAATGTTGCATGGTAGATGTTAAGTCATATTTAATTTTTAACGGTTTTTAGGAGTCGTTTTGGTGTTTATTCTTGATTCTTTTTGTCGAAAACAATTAGTTTTTGGTATATTTAGTATTTTTCAGGTTTCTAGACCTGTTTGGGTAAAACAAAGAGATTAGGAGAGGAGTAAAATGCGTTAAGTGGAGAGAAGATTGAAAATCAAGACCGACCGGTTGGAAATTTGTACCAGTTAGTACCAAAGACCTTAGAAACCGATTGGTTACACTCTTGTACCGATCGGTTTGTATTTTTTGAAACTTCATTTTTTTAAGTTTTAGGGCTTCGACTCATTACCTATAACTATTCTAATATTTGTGGCTGCAGATGTATGACTTTTTGTGCGATTTTTCTAGTTTTCAAAGGTTGTTCTTCTTTCATAGTTTTGTTTAAAATTTCCTAAAACCCTTTGCAAATCTCTACATAAACTCTATGATCTCTTTTTTTTTTTTTACTGTGATCACATGCATGTACTTTGGTCATTTGTGAGTAGTCTAATTATCATTGATCGAATTTGGGGATTTCAAATGGTAAGTTTATTTAATTTACCAGTTATTTTATTGATAGGATTTTTCTTTTAGTTATTTATCTTTGATTGTTCTTTATTATTTAGTCGAACTAGGCCGATTTAACTATTTTCCTATAATCGAATTCATTAAACCATCAAAAATGGTGTTGAATCTATTGATCTATCATTACAAGGTCAGAGCTTCCTTAGCCAACCAACAATTGATGTTATTGTGCTTTGTGTATTGATTGAATTAGGATTTTAATGCTTGTTAGAATTTTCTGAAATAAACGAAAGTTTAGTTCTTAGAAAATATCTCTCATAGTTTTTATTACATGCGAAAACAAGATACTATAAATAAATAAAATAAATTCAAGAACGAATCTTAATGCTTTCCTTAATTAATTTAAATGTTTTTAAATGAATTCCCCGATGATTTTCCTAGACTCAGTGTTCTCTTTATTATTTGCTTTTATTTATTTATTTATAAAAATAGATCTTAACTTTGAGAAAACTAAATAAAAATAAGAAGCACTCGCACAGTCTTGTATTGAACCCTAAATTAATGAGTTATGTTTTGTTCAAAGAAAAAATGAGAGTTGATGTTCAGAAAAATATGAAGTTATTTGACTTGATTCTTAATGTTTGTAAATCACTTATATTACAAACGGGAGGTTAGCAACTTTACATAGTTAACATATGATTTTAAAGTTTTAAAATATGATTAGTCTCAAATTATCGATTTATAATTTAAAATTTTCCTTGAATTATCCTCTTGCATCTCAATCAATTCAATAGGCAGGCTTTACTTAGGTTAATTCTGTATGAATTATGATCCAAGTCTATAGCGTATCAATTAATTGCTTATAATTAACTCTCCTTTTCTTGATTCATTTTGTTTAATTAATTATTCAATTGATTATTCTAATCAAAAGAGTTTCATTCTTTTTATGACAAGTTGGAAGTTATGAATTTGCATGCTCCAACATGAGAGCTAGAAGAAAGTGTATTGGGAGATCGACGTCTCTAGTTCTCGTCAATGTGTATATAAGATAGATTTTCATAAGTCTTTATTTATTTGGGGAAATCATACGTGAACCCTATCATTATAGGTTTTCTTTACATACTGAATAAAAATGCTTTCATTCACTTATTTCTTAGAAAATAATTAATCTATATATCATTTTAACCTTATATTTATTTATCTAAAAAGAAGTCAAATCACAAAAATTGCATCCTAGAGTATGTATTAATTTGCAGGATCATCGATTTGTCAACTCTTTTTAAAAAATGAAGATAATTAACTTAAACATGTTCGAACTCATAATCTCTATAAAATATGATAAGTAAAAGTGTAAAACAGATGCACAACTAACACATTTATCAAAAAAAAAACTAACACAAATAACTGAACATGTTTTAGAAATAAGCTCAGGAACAAAAACCATACATATATGTGCAATACTTTTTGGTAAAACAAGGGTGAACAAAATACATTTACATTTACTACCACGAGTTAAATACGAAAATAAATATTCTGTAACAAGAATGGAAAACATACGTTTTCATGTGAATCTGAATCGCTACTTTTTACACATTTATCTTTATTTGGTTAGTGCAATGAAATTTTTATTGGGACAATAGAAAAGGACCTTCCTTAAAGGAAAAAAGGGTCACAGAAGTTCAAAGAAGTAATGATGAAGAACTCACAAGCATGCCCATTATTTTAAATCTCACCTTTGCTGCTCCAAAATGCTTTAAAGAAACAGAATAATGAGAATAAAACTACACTTTTATAATTTCCTCTTCTTTATTTATTTACTTTTTTAGAAAGGTTGTGGGGAAACAAAATCAATTTCCAAACAGTTACGTCGAATTAATCATTATAAGTTTTATTCGATAGAGACCTCGATCCAAAAAATAATATCACGTTGAGATTCTAATATGTATCGTTTGACAAATTTTGTCCCATATAACTGGTTATTTTCTTCTTTTATTTTATTTGTTGTTAATGGATCTCAGACTCGGAGAGTATACATAGTCACGCAGTCAATATCCGATTGTTACCAAATCAACTATGATTGCATGCATGCCTACGGAACTTTGAATAAAATAGTTTAAAACATCTTTAAAAAATGTATTTCTTTTACCTCAAAAATTTACTTTTGGAAGTACAGAAAAATATTGAGAATTTTTTTTGATTATGAAATCTTAAATCTGAAAATAATGAAATTTATATAGACAAACAAATAATCTGTACCATGCAAATAAATCATCTGTAGATTACTAGATTTGATAGAAAATAGTTTTTCACGATTTGACAAGAAACCTTATCAAATATAAGAGGACATACAATTTTGTGCTTATAATTTGAGTAATATAGCTAATTTAATTTGAGGATGATCAGATTTGCGGTATATTTTTTTTTTCTTTTAAGGATTATCAAATTTATAGTTTCGACAAATAAATCATCTATTGCATGCAAATAATTAAAGGGACAAGAAAATCTTTAAATCCAAATAATTCCTAACGTCAAATCATTTGTCTGCTGCAATTTAGATGCATTGCATGTGTACTGGTTATATCGCGACGAGCTTAACCATGTTGAGTTTTCCATTATAGTTATTTTTTGTGTTGTTTTGGCGTATTGCTAACAACTGATATCGTGTATATGCATGCAAGAAGAATCAACCGATCGTCAAGGATATTCAAAGCCTGCTCATGTTATGTTTTCCATTCTTGTTATACAATATTTATTTCTTATTTAACTCGTGGTGGTAAATGTAAATGTATTTTGTTACAAAACAAAAAAAATAGTGGTCGGAAAACAATAGTGTTTTTTTTTTTACTGAAACCCAAAAAATAAAAATACAAAAGGAGACTTGCATAATTAAGTTCTATGAGAAACCAAATCATATATCAAAAAACGATGGGAGGAAACAGAATACTTGCAGTCAAACATCTATTTTTCAATTTTGTAACTATTTGACGGATATTTTATGTAGCTAACAAATTTTTTTTTCTATTTTAATATAAGGTGCTGGAAAACACAAATCCCTCTAATTTAAAAGTTGGATTTTATGGTCGTCAAGCCACAGCTAGGGACACTCTTTTTCTACTTAGCAGCAATCCCAAATTACCAAAAAACAAATAAAAAAAATAAGGCCCACCGTTGAAAAATGAGAACATGCATGGAACAAAACCAAAAGCTAACTCAAAATATTCAAACACTCATCTCTCTTCTCTACTTTAGATATATTTCTTCTCATTGTTGTATCTTTTCACTACATTCAATCCCCACTTTTTCACACACGAACACGTGTAATATTTAGTTTTGGTTTAGTGTTCAATTGGTTTACATAGAGACATCAGAAAACGAGACAAAGAAATTGATAACATTTTTTTATATCATAAAAGTACTATACATTACATAGCATATGATCGATTGCTCTTATAGAAACTAGAATCAATGTTTCAAAAGAGGCCAATTCAGATCAAAATGTCTTGAAATTAATTAGCCTTTTTTTCCTCCTCCTCTCACTACTACTCTCATCATCACTTACGACGCCGTTTTGTGGAAGTAAAAATAAAATAAAATAAAAAGAATACACTAAAACGACAAGGCCATTTCTCACAGCGTCTGAGTTGGTAAAACAGAGCAAAGCTCAATGGAACCGTAGTGAAGCAGCTCCTCAATCATTTGCTCAATATGATCTTCCTCCAATGGCCTAAAATTCTGTTGCATATTCACGTTACCATCTTCCCACTTGATCTCTGTCGTCTCCGTTACTCCTCCTCCCCTGTTAAACTGACTTCCATTGACCGTCACACCGTAAATGTCCGGGGATTGTGATCTTGCGGTCTGCGTTTGCGTTTGTGTTTGCGTTTGTTTGGTCATTTGAAGAGAAGCCATGTAGCATTTGTGGAGTTTAGCTGTGAGTGTGGCTGAAAGAAGCTTGGAAGAGGAAGTAGGAATGGCATTAGGGTTGTATGGGAAATTAGTCCGAGCTCTCGGGCCGCACATTAACCTCGCCGCCTCGTCGTAGGCCCTTGCCGCATCTTCCGCGGTCTCAAACGTCCCTAGCCAGATTCTTGTTTTCCTAAAAAAGTAAAAAAAAAAAAAAAGTTAGCACTACTAAATATTATGAGACGATTATAGGTCTAAGTCCAGAACTTCTTAGTAAATAAAAAAAAAGCAACCGAGGGTAATTTGGGAATTTGAGGGAGGGAGGGTTTACAAGAGTGGGTGACGAATTTCGGAGACCCAAGAGCCCCAATGCCTTTGTCTAACGCCTCGAAACCGTTGTTGTGGTCGTGCCATTAGTGTGAATGGTAAATGGGAACAGAGTTCAGGTGAGTTTAGTGTGTTTGTGGAAATGTTTTGAAAGAAGAGAGTGAAGAAAGAATGATGAGAGTGAAGGAGCGTTTTAGGAAGAGTGAAGGGTGGCTATAAGTAGTGTTGGCTTTAGCTTCATGAGAAAGAGAGAGAAATGTTTTTGTGTTAAAATTTTCTTTGGCAATTAACTGGCAATCAATTTGGTCCTAAATTGGACCCACACCATTACCAATACGACCCAGAAAATCTCATGGATTTTGTTTGATGTGTGAGAGAGAGAGAGAGAGAGCTATATTAATTAATTCCTTTGATTTAAAATTCTTAAATTTACTTCATTTGTTGTATTCGAAGTTGCTGCGACATGGGCAAATGGATTATCTAATTCTGTCACATATTATAGTGAAAATTGAAAGCTTCGAAAACTACATGCTAATCTGTCGGAGAATATTTTTTTATTTAGAGATATTTTTGGAAAGTATTTTCGTAATTTATCTACAAACTTAAAATAGAATCAAATTTATGAACAAAAAAATTATCACAACTATTGTAAGAGTTTCATAAGAATTTTTTTCAAAAAATAATATCAACATATAAGTTAATTAAAACGGTTTTAGAAAATCCAAACCGGGGATAATTTATTTTTTCTTAATCTTACTCAAGTTCCTTTTTTTTTGTTTTGTCCTAAGTTACATATATTATACTTGAACAAATAATAGTTTTATATATATCCTAAGTTATGGGGTTATTTTTAAGGTAAATTAATAGATAGCTATATATCTACATATTGACAACCCTACTTATATAGCATATATATATATATATGTATCAATTATCTTTATTTTCCAATTGTGAACAAGTTGGATCCAAAGAGATTTTTTGGCTGCGGTGAAACTTCAAACCCACTGTACCTATTTTCACATGGGTTTGATCATCACAACATGTCTCTATATCTTAGATACTGCCAAATTTTTCTAGATTTTTCCCCAACTAATTAATAATAACGATTAATAATTGGAATATAAATAGTTTGATAACTAGTAGGACTCTTTCATCACCATTCTTCACCCATGTGAGCCTTCGATAATGACTCAATCAAACACCCAAAACCATCCTTTTTTTTTCCTTCTTTAATATTATTTTGTTATGTTATTATTGAAACAAACCTTAATGTATTGTCATCATACCCATGATTTCTGAGTGCACAGTTTACCTACGAGTCTGCGACCTATTCAAAAATAAAATAAAACTCGTAATACATTATTTGTCAATTAAAACAATATAGCTTTACTAATATATAAATAAATCGGTGATTATGAGTCTATGACCATTACTAAAACTTGGAAAAGAAATAATGATATTATATAAACTTATCCACAATTTTTTATAGTAGTAGTATATGATACTTGTATAGGGAATGTCACATTGTAACCACTTCTGCTTCAGTGGGTTTTCTTTTTATAAATGAATTTTGTTTTTCTATAATTTATATTTTGTTAAAAATAAAAACTTAAATTTTCTGTAAAAAAAAGTTTTCAATTCAGACAATATATCCTTTTAGAGTCAATAATAATTGGAATTAGAGGTAATAGAAGAATATGTTGGGCAAAAGAGTGTGCAGGTAGAATGGATACATCAAAATGACAAGTGCCAAATATTATTGGCTGATTCCAGTAACATATTGATGAAAGAATCTTAGACCGCAATTATGACAACAAGAAAAACCACTAGAGAAGGTCATTAACTTTTTATCAAATAACTGATCATTTAACCCTACTAATAATCATTGTAAACCCTAATGATTTATTTTTTTTGGTAATAAAATTAAAGTATATGTAAGAGCATTTTAACCCTAATAATTAATCAGCTAATGCGTTCTCTTGATGGTGTACATATCAGTAAGTTACATAGGGGAAATATATGTACCTTTGAAATAATAACATTACTACTACTGTAACTTTATTAATTAGACAACAAATGTGTTAATATGTGTAGTATAATCATTTTTACTTAGTTAACTGAGTCTTTGTTTGATACGTGGTTTAATCGTATGGGTCGATCAAACAATAAAGCAAAGCATGTGAGAGTGAGAAGCTCAAACAAAGACTGTTTTTATCTTAAGTTGTATTGCATGCGGATTTTGTCTCTTTGTTACTATTTTTGGCACGTATGAGTAGATATGCCTAATTTTCCAAGTTTCAATTAGTACCATACTTCTGAAAGAGAAAGAGAGTACTCAATATCTATCTCCAAATGCATGGCATGGACCAAAAAAATAGATTAAACAAGGTTCATTAAAATATATTAAACAAGCTTGTACAAGAAAAACCGTCTTAATTATAAATTGTAAATGATGCAAATATGTAAGATGTACACCCACGAATCGAGCTCCGATTATGCAAAATTTTATAAATATGAATTTAACATGCAATTAGATCATATGCTAATATGTCTAGATTGTTTGTCTTTATAGCATAGAGGGTCATCATATGTTTGGTCAATCATATTATTAGCTTATCTTAATTGTTTTTTTTTTGTGCTAATGAGAAACTTGAACATTACAATTATCTTTAACCAAAAAAAAAAACATAAAACAATTAGTGTTTTGGGACTACATACAAAGTTATGGGAAAATCAGACAAGAATTATGAATAAATATAAGTAGGGCCTAGGTCGTAAACGCGTGACATGGGACCCATAACGACATAGATAAACATGGGTGATGAAATGGTTTTGATTGTGATTCGTGTCTTTTTCTTCATTCAGCTGTAAATTAACTAAACAAACCAAAATCAATCTAGTATTCATTCAGGAGTAATATATATTTTCTCGAAGAATATATTTGCTCGAACATATAGTTTTGTGCGTTGAATTCTAGTGACTTACCATATGAAGAAATGGGATATGTTAGCATATACATTTTAGATCAGTTAGTTTAAAGAGTAACTATTTGAATGATTATTTGAGGTCACTTCTTTATGTTTTATGATCATCAATACAAAAACCATTAAACAAAAAAACCAACTTCCTCCAACACTTGTTTGTGAAGTCAAACCAGTCCTTTAAATGTCATAGATGATTGAAAATGACTTTCTCACACTATTTGCGCTGGATCTAACGCTAAAATTAGGCGAAACCATACCGAATGAACAACGATAGATTATGATTGAATTCATATTCGGTTAAAAATTATGACTGAATAAAATATCTTAAGATAGATATACAAAGATTGGAGGGAATAAACATTAGCTAAAAAGTTCCATATCAAGATTATAAATATCGAAAATTAAAATAAATTGTAATTTTTGATAATAATAATAAAAAAAGATAAAGTGTAATTACGAAAAAAAATTGTAACTACTACTTATTTTAATTGCAAAAAGAATTTTGACGAAAGTATTAACTACGCATGTGATTTAATTTGTAGATAAATGTGAAATAATAAGGTGACGTCCATATCAAAGACCGCCATTCTCTCGTCCCATTCCACACTCAGTCACATGCAAATATGGAGGGTCCATTGAATCCTCAACAAAAGGTCACACAACAAGACTAATATTCTATAGAACAAATGTAGTTTAAATCATATTAAATATATTATATATATATATATATATATATATATATATATGTGCATATTTTATTTAATGGATTGGAGTTAATTCAACATGGACTTTGGAGGTTTCAGAGACATTGTTCCTCAGCTTGCATACACACATGCAGTATCTTTTGGTGTTATCTATGCAATTTTATGTTCTTGGTACAAGAGAATCTAATCTATGTTGACAAAATTTTCTTATTTTAGTTTTGAAAACTGAAAGAAAACAAAATATTATCAAGTTTGTTTGCCTTTTTGTATATTATGTCGGAGGATCAAAAATCTCACAAACATAAAACCACAAGTACTAACTGGTGACTCTTGTCATTTCAGTTATATGGTTTGAATGTTGCTAATTGTTGGCACTAAGCAACTACTTCCGAAAAATGTAACTGCTCAAAATCGTTTTTCGATGAATAAGCTTAGGTCTGACTTTAAAGATCAAGATTTATAAGTTACGTTAACCAATGTAAGATACAAAAAAAATGCTAAGAAAAAGCTTTGCATGCATCGTGTAGTTTGCGCTTAAATTGTTATAATTTATTTAATCTATCTGGTTCAAAATGTCAAGATATTCGTATAGAAGAAAATCAAGTTTATTTTTGTACACCACATAACAGAAAGTCTATGGTGCGTAATATGCAAAAAAAATTGAGTTTTAATGTTCAGTCCAAAAAAAAAAATGTTGAGTCAAGTATTTAAGAAAACGCTAGATCCTAAATGAGATGGAACCTAACGTTAATACCTAAAACGTTCAATCGTGGCTTAAACGATTCCAGGCGGTTTAAATATTGACAACATAAAACATTATATATTACTTATATATAGTAGAAATATATAAAATATCATATTTCATAAACAATAAAATTCAAATATCATAAAACTTAAATATATATTTTAAGCTAAAACGACATAATTTATTTAAAGATATAATATAAATATCAGAACTAAAACATTAAAAAATTTCATATATGAAATTTAGACAAAAAAAAATCCTTTTAAGAAATAAAACATTATTGAATTATACAAAAGAATTACAGAAAAACATTCTTATAATTCATATTAAACAATATGAAATTTAATAACCATATATATGAAAATAAAATTCACAAATTAAAATCTATGATAGAAACTGAAAAATATATTGAAACAAAACAAAAAAATAAATTAATTATTGATTAGTGACTTTGTATGATCACCTCGAACCGCTTAGAAGCGTTTAAGATCGCATATAGCCGTATTATACCGTTTAGTAAACAAAACGTCCAACTTCAACACCTACAAAGTAATCTCCATAATTTATAGATGTCTAACGCCTAAACGATCCGTAGAACGCTTTTTAGAACACTGATTCATTCATTTGTACTAGTGGTTATCGTTGAATACTCATTGATTAAAGTTTTTATCAGTGAGTATCTAAGTTTATTCTATAGTTTTTATATTACTCCTATTTTAATGTTTAGTCATTTTATTAATAATCAAATAAAACATCATTTGACTCCTATAACTCTCACATGCATAACCGAATAGAAATGGATTGCAATTAAACGATAACACTAGTACAAATTCTCATCAATGAATTATAAAACCTAGGACTTTAAAGAATAGAAGTAGAAGTGAAAGTTGGAGAGAAGAAAATAATTAAAAGCTCTCCAAGAGAACGCGGTTTTGGAGCAAAGTGAGAGCAAGTAAATGTTACATTTGACTCCAAAAAGACAGAGAAAATTGAAGTGTGACTTTTTGTCATTTCCATTAACCGCACTCCATGGGATCTTTGTTCCCTCCTTATCTCTTAATTCGTTGAAGTTCTTTTGTTCTTATAGACATAAATACAAAATGCTTCTAGTATATCTTGGCCACACAAAAAAAAGTTATTTTGATTATATATAATAAAAGAACATCTCGTAATTTTGTAAAATGAAAAATAAAATAAAATTGTGATTGATGTCATTGTCTCTTCCCTTCTTTTTTTCAGTTTTACATCATTTTTTTATTTTGTTATTCATCGAAATAAGAATTCTTAGAAAATTGATTTTCTCTAAGCTTGAAATTGAGATTATAGTGTTATGCAAAATTTTTAACCTAAGAGCATTTTTATTTGTAGTCTTTCAATAAAAGACTCTCCAAAAAAATGATTTATACTGTTTTTGTTCATTTAAACTGTCTTTACTGGTCAATTAAAACAATTATTTTGTTTCAGTAACTATATGATTTATATTCATATTAAAAATCTTTAGAGACGTTTTTTTGTTATTTGCGTATTCAAAAAGTATTATTTTATACAAGATATAGTATACAGTGAATGGAAGGGGAAATTGGATTCACTAGGCCATGTGATATTTTGATGTGAGCTTTGGAACAAGGTTTGAATCTCCCAATGGAAGAAGAAACTATTGACTTTGTCGTTAGATAGTGTTTGTTCTTTCAGTTTTCACGTTACGATTTTATTTTCTCCTGTCACTCTCATGAGTCTCATCTCATCCCATAGCAGCACCAGCACATGTACGTCCATATCTAACACACTATATAAATCGAGAAACCGGCCAAAATCAACCCCAACTATTTTCATGCGGCCTTTTTTAATCCAAAATCTGATTTTCTGCATTTATCAACCCGAATCCACATAAATTTCAAATAACAAACCTGAACTATGTAACCGTTAACCAATTTCACATATACATGTTATTATATAATGTAACAAACATGAATTATGTAACCATTAACCAATTGAATAAAATGAATGATTCATATAAAAAAGGGAGATTGACACAAATAGCCCCAAAAAAGTTGTTTTTTCCAAAAATAGCACCTCATTTGAAAAGCTCCACAAATAGCACCATAAACTTCAATTAAACTTAATGAAAATATAAGATAGAAAATAAAAAAGAGAGCAAACACTAATCTAATATTAGATTGAATCAAAATTGTTTTAAATAGTGGAAATATATACCCTAATTTGGAAATAGGGAACCCAAATATAATACCACAAACTAATATTAAAATAAAAATCTCTTTTAAATGGTGAAAATATATACCCTAAATTGGAAATAGGGAACCCAAATATAATACCATAAACTAATATTAAAATGAATCAAAATCTCTTTTAAATGGTAGAAATATATACCCTAAATTGGAAATAGAGAACCTAAATATAATATTTTAAATTTATTTCTAATTTATTTTGTTGAATAGCTTTTATATAAAAGTTGTGGTATTATTGAAAAAAAAAAGCTAGTGATAAAATTTTTAGAACAAAAACACTAATAGTAAGTTAACTAGTGCTATTTTTGGAAGTTTATGGAGTGTGTGCTATTAGGAATTTCTCTAAAAAAAAATAGATAATTACGACTTAACAATTCTAATCGACATTAACAAATACAAAAAATAATTAGGTTGAACTAAACTCTTATTGACCGACCAAAAACCACACAACTAGAAGAAAAGGTTTCATGTATTTGACGTATTGGTGAGAATGGGTCAATAAAAATCAATACGTCTTAAATGGGCCTAGCCCACGAATTGATTTACGCAATCCAACATCTTAAACCGGCCAATCTATATTATATATTATTCATCACCAATAATATATTTAAAGTTTTTTTTTTTTGGGTTCATGTCATGAAGCATTTTTGGATTCATGTCATAAAGCATTATTTGAAATTTTGAATAGTTTGAATATATTGTGTACCAATAATTTGTAAATGGGCTACAACTATAATTTCACGGGCCTAGCTAAATCTTTTAGTGGCATTCATCGTGGTCTAAATAGTTAGTTGGTTGCCACCCCTAAAGCAATTATTAATTCGAGTTAATGAATGATGAATGAATGTATCATGTTAAACCCATTAGAGACAAAAAAAAAAAAAAAAAAAAAAAAAAACTCATAAATAATTTGGTGAGCAGAGTCGTTGATTTGTGTATCATGTACTTTTTTGGGACTTTTTTGAAAGAAGTAAAGAAGTCTGCGTCAGTGGTTGATGTGCTACAATCGGATGTGGGTACTTTGAAATCCAATTTCAACACCATTCTCTCTGAATTGACTAAGGTTGCTATTGTTCACCGCTCACCGCTCACCGCTCCCACACCCAAGTGATTATGATTTGTGCGCATTAACTAGATCTCAAATCATTAATCTTTTGTTAACCTTGTTCATATTTTCTCTAATTTTATTCATTTTCTTGTTTCCTTGCAGTAATCCTAAAAGCAAATTAAAATTATAAAAAAAAAAAAAAAAAACTTGGGTGGCGATGTAGACCTAAAAAAGATCACAGGTGAAATGATTAATCCTCCACAAAATCTGAACTTATTTCTATATATATGACAATGAAAAAATATAGAAAGAGTTCTGCTTATTTATGAAGACGTTCACATAATCACACATATACACATCACTTAATTTATTCTTTTGTGTCCAATCAAATAATACAAGTTTAATTCAATACTCCCTAAAAGCTTGTATTATGTAATTTTACAAGAGTTTTGGTATATGAGATTTGATAATTATAATTTGCTCTTTGTTCTTTGCTTAAACAATATGTAGATCAGTTACTTCGTTCGCTTACAATTCTCCCACCAAGTGATGTTCGATGAGTAAATGTTTCGTGCGTTTGTGATAAATTGATTTTCAATCAGTTGCAATTGCGGAGAACCTTTTTATTTGTCAATTACTCGTCATTGTTTCTGAGCAAATGCTAAAAAAAAAGATTGAGAGGTTTCAGGGAAACAAAATAATTACTGAACTGAGGAGAACTTATAGGAAAACAAAGGTATTAGCTCTATTTTTTCATCAATATAGGTACTAGTTCTTTCTCTTCGAATCCTAGCTTAACTAATAACATTCTCAACCATACTACTTGATTTGTTACATCATTTAGAGTTATATATTATGTTTTTGTAGAAAGATTTTGCTATCATTTTTTTGTTTTTGAGTTTTTTATGAAAACACTCGATATCCAAGGGTAAAACAATAACTGATTCTCAAAATTGATTGAAGATGTGCAAATTCCTTCAATTTCAAACCAAAATTAACTTGTTTTAATATCATTGACTTCTCCTTTCAAGGCTCAAAAGTATTAGCCATATATAATCTGTAAAAAAAAAACAAAAAAAAACATCAACATTATTATCAAAACGCGACCATCAAGAACAACCTAGCTATCCTTACGAAAATCAACCTAAGTAGATCATTACCAAAAAAATTGAGAGATTAGTTTATTGCAATATTTGCTTCCAATGTACTCGTAAGATTAATCAACAACGCAAAACTAGAAAAAATTACTGTCACATATCATTAATACCACCAATCTAAACTGAAAATATCAAATAAATACTATAAAGATGAGTTGTAGTTTTTATGTCTTCTTTGCACCTCGTATAATCTGAATCCAAAAATCCTATATTTGTCTTTCCAACTTGTTGAAACTTTAGACAAGATCCTTTTGATAATGATGAAGTTTAGGTTATTGCATATAATATACTCTTCAAAAATTACTTGTAGTAGTAAAATCTAGAAGATTTTAATTTAATCATAATATTGGTTTATATATCACTAATATAGCCATGTGAATATGTTGTTTTGAAAATGGTTTGTGCCACGTTTTTATGTGTGACATTCAATATCGATGTTTTATATGTGATGAGCGTTTATGTTGATTTGAATATTTTAACTGTCAAAAAGAAAATTGTACATATGATTATTAAGTATTAACACAAAAAAAAATTAGAAGTACTTGTCTAGAAAAATAACATTGTATCCTCATATGGATAGACACGTTTTATGAAAATGTATGATAGGATTTGTATTAATAACCATATATTTTTCGTTTTAACAATTTAAATATTCTGTAGTCTATTTTTTTTGTCTAGAGAAATATTGATGTATCTTCGAATGGATAGACACTTTTTCAAAGTAAAGAACTATTGATGTATCTTCGATTGTATTAATCTAGAGCACAATCGGTGCAAATGTTTTATTATTAACATGTACCCAGTAACTTAATTACAACCTAAATTTATGTGCATTAATAATGATTTGAAACAGTTCAGTTAATATATATTGTTATTTTTTCCATTTCACTGACATTTTTTTCATGTGTTTGGTTAGTTATTCTTTTTTGTTGTTGTTGATTTTAGAAGGCAAACAAAAATCCCAAAATCTATATAATACACCTCTTTAATCGTAGCTATTCTCATAATATTTCAAGTAAATTTGTTTTCAATCCAATCTAATTAAACTAGTCAAAATTTGAATAAGACTAAAGTATTAATTGCTTATGTCCCACTTAATTCTCCCACATCTTCACACGTACTAATATATTATACATATATATCAATTAAATAAAATATCAGAAATAAAGAATTATAACAAATAAAAACGAATTTTTATAAAATCTCACCATCTTCTTTCTTTCTCTCTCTCTCTCTCAAAGTTAGTATCTCAGTACCTTTACGCTTTGTCTCTATCTTCTTCTTCTTCTTCTTCTTCTTCTTGGATTCAGAGAATGGTTTCATCAGATGATTGGACGAAGTGTGCGATGAGAGATGGAGAAGTGGTGGCAGAGCTTTTGGTAAAGCTTAAACAAGCCAAAGTAATCAAGAATCCTATTGTAGCAGCACTCCGGTGGGGAATCCAGCAGCCACGGTCTCGGTGTCCGAGAAAAGAAACTGAATCTAGATGTAGTCCAAGTACACCACTATCTTGGAGTGGTGGTTGTGGTGGTTCTTCTTCTTCTCCATCTGGTTATGTCGATGGTTACGAAGCCACTAGTCGTCAAATCAGTGCCGTTGGATCTAGATCCAAGGTTTGTTCGTGTCTTTATTCTATCTCGTTTTTAGCTGATCTGTTTGTTCCACTTCTCTGTTTTGAATTCATGACGTAGACTCGTTGATCTCTTAATTCGACCTAATTCTTGATTTGAATCGTGGAACACAAGATTCTCTCAGTTATACAACATATCAAAGATTTAAGATTTAAGCCAACTTTTGTAAATGTTCCTCTGCTACAAGATTCCATACGTCTTTTTTTTTTTTTTGCTTTCAAGAAGCTCATTGACCAAAACCAAAAGCATCATCCTTCGAGTAAAAAAAAAAAAAACCACTTAGTGTTTTAACTAGAGAGGGTTATTATGGTCATTTTCTTAAGGTGGCCGTGTGATATGTCGTCGTTTTACTGTTTTTGTTCGTTTGTGAATTTGAGTGGTAGCAAGTGGATGGTTTGAAGAAAGAAGAGATTGATTTTAGTGATTACATTATATGCATAGATTGTTTTAAGGTATGTATAACATTTGAAATAAGCTGAGGAATATCATTAGTTTTGGGTTATATTTGGTAGTTTGATATTATTTGGGATTATTTGTGTTTATAATTTGCTAATGAAGAGTTTAAGGATAATTTTGTGTGAAGTTTTGTTAGGTTATCAACCTCAATGACGCGTTGTTTAATGTTTTTATGGGTCACATATGGGACCATTTTCTCAACATTGAATTTGTGTGTGTGGGGACTTTAATTTTACTTCTGTTTCTTGTGACTCAACTTTATTATTCTTCATTTATTGAACGTTCTTGTTCTTACTTTTCGCAGGTTCTTGTAACTTCAGATTTGGATTTTGATGTCAAGAGATTACAGAGGAAAAAGGTACCCAATTCTTGAACTATTCTGGAGTATTTTGCAAGCAATTTTCGGTTCTTGATGATATCGTCATATCGACAATTCTTTTCAGCATTAACTTGAATTGCTGTACTTTGATTGTGTTTTTGATAAGCAGAACATTGCATCACTTAGATCACCATTCAGCGAGCGAGGCGTCGAAAACAATAACTTGAAGAGAATGAAGGTGAACACACATATTTTTCTACTTTAATCTCTTTCTCTAACTTTTGTTGTATGACTTGGTGACTATACTTAAGAACAACTAAAATCCTTTGGTTGGTTCTTTTTATTTCAGATGAATCATAGTCAGAATTTGGCAGAGAATGAAAATCGCAAGGCGGATGGCAATTTCTTGCTACCAGATTTGAATATAATGCCATGTGACGAAAATAGTGATCATTATTCGTCTTTGGGTGTGGAAACAACACTATATGGGATAAGGATTATAAGTTGAAAGAAACTCACTTAATCATGAGAAGTGGTTTTGAGAATCTGGTTCGATCAGAGTAAGCTGATTTGATCATCTTTCGCTCGGCTTTTGAAAAGGGTTCGCGCCACGCAATAGCTCGAAAAGACCAAAGATCTTCTGTGTATAAATTCCTCAAGGAAGTTTCCATTATGGGGTGGCATCTAATTTTCTATAAAGATCATCAGCAATGTGTAAGATAGATAAAACAAAGAGAAGAATATAATTTCTGATTATTTCTTTGTAGCAAGAACAAAAATAGATATTTTGTATTGATTGTCTTATATTATCACAAGGGATAAATGTCTCTTTTCAATAAGAAAACAAAAACAAAGGAGTAACACAAAACCTAAAATGTCACTTTCAACCACATTATCCATTTGTAAAAACTAAAAACCGAAGAAAGATTTAGCCTTGAAACAAATCAAACCCAAATATATGTCCAAATTGGCTCAATAAGATTCATATTTCGACCCACAAAAGAAGCCTATTGGCTATGGGCCTTAGGGCTGAAACAACTAATTATTATTATTTTAAACTTCCACCAACTTCTTACGTTAATAACAAAAATGGCATTGGTTTTAGGCTTTTTAGCCTAAGCATATAAAGAGATAAACTCAATCGTAAAAAAACAAGGATTTTAGGAACGAAAATGAGGATTTAAAAAAATCTGAAAAACATTTTACGAGAGAAAACATGTCTAAAAATTTAACTTGAGAAAATTGTAGTATTAATACTCAGCAAACTCTTATGTGTCAATAAGAGAATGTATAGTTTTTACTTTTTTTTATTTAAGTGGTTTACAAGTTACCAACTTACCATGCATGATGCATCATGCATGTAGAGATGTATCATAAAGCAATAATAAGTAACATATTTGGAAAATGAACCGTCTACGACTACGGCATATGCCTACGACCCAAATTCAAGAGTTGCTAGCTACCTAATCCCAAGTTCAAGCACCACTATTTTACGATTATAGTATTATTACGACGTAATCTTGATTAGCTACATGATTTACATCGTTCAAATTCATCCTGGTGCAATTTGAAGTTTTAAACCCACACGTACAGTTCATTCACAATTTTTGACAATATTTATCCAATCTAGAATCTTGAATATCGTCGATAAAAAATGGATCTTGAATATTATGGTATGCTTTACGTAATTTTAACCAAATTAAAATATGTTTAATAAGCGTATCATTTTTCTTGGTGCTTTTAGCTTCATGATACATACAAGGTTATGGACTTAGTAGTTGAGATGGTAAGTATCTTCTTCTAGGCCTAGCCCGATGGGTTTGATATTTTTAGCTAAAACCAAGTCTTATGACCAAAGACTTTTTTTTTTTTCCTCATGACCAAAGACTTTTAAGACTAGTTTTGGATGCTACATCTGCGGAATAAAATCTGTAATGACAAACGTCTTTATGAATATCAAAATAATGCTTATATTATATATGCTTTCAAATCCTAAATGAGAACAGAAGAACCAGCTGGAATCTTTCAAGAATAGATTATTGCTTATCGTCTTTTCGATATTGGGTGGAGAAAGATGGCCTAAGATACTCAAATGTGTCGAATTCATAACCAAAAGTGAGCAAGCAATGTGGGTGTGGTATGGCCAAACGCAGAGAATTGAGAATGAAAGAAGAGGAGAGTGGAAGAGTGGTCCATAAAAGAATTGATTTTGAAAATTAAAAAAATACTTACTTCTCTTTGCTTTTCTCTATTTTGGGTGGTCCACTTTTCATGGTGAATAGTCTAATTTGGGAGTTTTAACTTTGAGGAGCATACTACTATATGTCTTATTCCTCTTGACTTTCATGCTCCTTTAACTCTTTCTTTTTTTATATTCCTACATGTTTCTTTGTGTTCCACTAGTAAGAAAATTTAAGATCAATATAATTTAAGATCAAGATCAAAATTTAAGATTAATTTCTGTTGAATTTAATTTTGGATTATTACATGATTTATGTGCTATATGTCTAATCAAAGTCTATTGTAGATTCAGTTTAATTTGCTCGGACTGAAAAACTTTTACTAGAGCCGGCCAAGAAGATTAGTAGGGCCCCAAATTGGACTTTTTTTTTTGTTCACTAAATATATTTTATACAAATTAATATACAATGATAAAGTAGAGCCATAAATATGTTGCATTTTGCTTTTTGGAAACAACCTAAATATGAAAAAGTTGAATCAAAATATCAATAATGTTGGGATTTCGAATCAATATTGTCTGTCTTGGTTCAATGGTTCACAAATTCACATCTTTGTTGCGGATTAAACATAACCAATGGGAAAGAAAAATAAAATAAAAAGACTAAATGTAAGAAATAATTTGAAAAGATCTTTATGTGGCATGTGTTTTTTTTTTTGCAGTTTTTGACATAACTATTTTATGTTACAATTTGATCTAATATAGAAAAAATTTGGGCACTTCAATCAATTTGAATATATGGGGACCGAGGATTATTGATTAAAAGTAGGGTATGTGTATCCAATATACTTTGAGTTGTTGGATATTAAGATATTTTTGTGGAAATGTTATGACTTTAGGTACATAGTTCGCACAAAGATGTATCATACACTATCTACAGCTAAAACATAAATTAAGATTGATCTTTATAATCATGCGCATAAGTATTTAATTTTTCAAAATGTAAAACATAAATTACGACTATCTAATATCTTGATCATGTAGTCAACTTTGGCGTCACCCTTCTCATCAGACCAAAATTCTCATCATTTTTTTCTGAAACAATATCCCTAATCATAAAAATTACATGAATTTATTAATTAGCGTATATATATATATAAGCCAAACTAACTTCTCGTTATTTTCGATCACTATAACCTTGATTCTGTAAATCTAGGAGTGCAGGACAATACCCTTTTGATTGTTGAACGGCTTCAAAAACTATTATACTGACAATATGCATTTTTGGGTTTCTAATGCTTGTCTACCAAACGATCGCCAAGAAAAACTGAACTAACTCTTTTAAAAGCCTAGTTATCCGAGACCAGATCCGAGCTCCTTTGGCCTTCCTCTTCTCACCCATGTTTTTTTCCTTCCCTGGATATGTATTAATCTGGTGCAGATTCAAAAGTTTATCTCTCTTTTTGGTTCAACTTTTTCACCTTACTTGCTGAAAGTTTATCTTTCCCTTGGATCCCTCTTTTTCTTTGTGAAATCGAAATTTCCCAACTACTACTAGGTTGTCTTCATGGCTTTGCTTGGAAGGTGGTTGCGTTTTATTCTAGCAGTGGATTTCTAGACTTCAAAAGAAGAGATTGTGGAGTATGATTTAAGGTCTCGTGTAGGAATTATTAAAGTTTCTTGTAGCATATGTGATATCAACTCTTTTAGGAATCTAAATGCAAATCGAAAATCATTCTCACGGTTGTAAAGATCTTACTATTTAGCGATAAAACTATGATAAAAATAACTTTTTTTTTTGATAACCGAGTGTCCTGGCCCCACCGAGGTGGTCCAGACTAGAGACCGAACCTTTACGGCACGGACGCACACCCGAGGGTGGTTCATGGCCAGGTAATGGTCTTCGGTCTCGGGCGCCAGAGCAAGTCCGCATGTAAATTCTCTGGTGGCCACTAGTATGTAGCAAAGGGGAATCGAACCCGGGCGTATTGGGATTACCCCCTCAACCACGAAATTCATCCTACCACTAGCCCACCTTTTAGTGGTTTGATAAAAATAAAAATAAAAATAAAAATAACTTTAATCACAGAAGTAATTATATATTAGCGTTTAATATTCCATTGCAAATAAATTGTTCCTTTAAGTGTTCTACTACATACTTTTGAGAGGTGTATCTTGTCGGCAGTATATATTTGTTGTGTAAAAATGAGATATTTATGTTGTCATGACGTACACTATTTGGCAATGAAGATAGACAAAGTAATGAGACTTGACTTTGACAAAGTGTATACGACTTTCTGCGAGTATGGTCGTTTAAACCCATCAAATTACATTAATGTTTCTGATTAGTATAGATTATCGACAAGGTTTAATGAAATCTTTGTCAATTAGCTACATTTCGTTTCCATCTCTACCCCACAATTCTAACTAACCCGTTTGACAAAATCTTTTAAGTACTCCACTGTCGGCAAATTAATTGAGATCTCTATAAATTTCATTTTATTTTCTTGCATTTCAAGTTTTCAACTCATACACTATTAAACAGTTTAAAATATGATTTTCATGATGTTTTGTTTTCGGTTCATATCTAATTTTCTAATCAAAACAATAATTTGTGGCATTATATTTTTAAGTTACACAAAAAAAACATGAAGACGATTTCATGTATTTTTATCGGTTTTAAGTTTTTGTTTTCATTTTATTTGTGTATTTTGTCAAAGCTAAATGAGTTTTTAGTGTCCCTTATATGTCTTTCTAGTCATTTCAGATTCTAAAAGAAGTGTGAGTCTCATTAGGTATAATAAAATGGGAATGCATTTCTAATTATAATTTTTGCACAATTTCAAATTTTGTCTACTCCTCAAAAACTGTCTCTCCTACAAAATAAACTCAAAACAAAGTGTTTATTCTCTTATATATATGCGACACATCCTATTTAGTATTTTACTGTTGCATAGTAAGTAAAACAGTAGTGTGTCATAAAAAAGCATAGATATTATTTCCCGCTTTTGCTTTTTATAATTTTATTCTCGTAAGTCGTAACTAAATTATTATATTATACTTTACATAAATTACGAACCCAACATATATCTCCCAAAGTTTATTTATTTTTTGTTATGGCTTTGACAGCCTTGTGAGAAATTTGGATGGATGTGTTCAGGCTTTAAAGAAAAGGACGCAAGCGAAGATCAAAAGGTTGTGAAAAGGACACACTTCCATTAAAATTAGTAAACGACTTATAAGCCTCTCTCGATAACGATGACCCAAAGGCAAACACATTTTATTGTTTAGTCACTGACCTATAAGTCTATAACAACATATTCACTGTTCGATAATCTCACGTTTTCTATAACCTAAATTATATCGATGATCATGCTTGATTTGGAGCTTAAGATATTACTATTAGTGTATATTACGTAAGAGTAGATTAAAAAATAGTGTGAAGTTGATTCTTGGTAACGACAATTTAGGTTCGAACTTCGAACCACTTTGTTTTGTAGTTAACCGAATAGTGTGATGAAATGGATAAATGTA